CCAATCTGAAAAACTCCCAAGTCCACAAACTGGCTCTTCTTAGGTCACAAGACCAGGTGGTGCTAAGACAATGGACGCTGTTTGTGGCAGTGGGCTGGACAGGAAGACGGGGAGGGTACTCATCTCTTCACACCAACACAGAAGCTCTACTAAGGGCCTGCCCAAGGCCCACATTCTCTGGGACTAATATTTAGGAAGAAACTGACAGGGAAAAGATACCAGTTTAGTCTCCCCTCCCCGCAAATGGGGTACTATCAGAAAAGTAATAATTCTTTTCAGAGTTATGGGTACCAAATATGTAGGTGTGGAGGCTCAATTAATGAGGTAATGGTCTTACCACTATACTGTGCTTCTTGCCTAAGAACCTGTTTTAAAAAGCACCCACTGAATAAAACACATGTATCTTCCTTTGGGAACTAAATATGCCTTTGTCATCATGTACTGGATATTCTTAGTTTTCTAAACTTCTCATAGTAGCCCTGAATTACAGGAGGGGAGAATAGGGCGGATACATAGGACCGGCAGGAGCTGCAGCACAGGAACCCTGCAGCCACGGTGAGTCAGGGAAGGTATGCCCCAGGAACCCCCCGCCCCCCGCTGTGTTCACTGCAGGGGACGGGCACAGGTAGGGCTGGGACACAGCAGAGGCCAACGCCACCCCACATAGGAGAAAGCTGGATCTGAACCATGCTCAAGGAAATGGGGTTCCAGCTCACAGAGTAAGTGTGTTCATTAGAAATTCACATATCGGCCGCTGTTCCCCTGGTGCAGAGAGTGGTGCCAGGCACATAGCAAGTGTTCACTAAATCTGAAGAAAGCGGAGATGCGCATTAAAAGGCAACAGCCAAGGCTGACATTCCTTCTGTGATTTCAGATCCAGGGTCAACAGAATCACAACGAGAATATTTCTTTGGGGACAAATGTCAAAGGGAACATATGACAAATGGAGAGCTACCAAAGAGGCATATGAGGTAGTAAGAAGGGGGTTTGCTTGGAGCCACGTGAAGCAGTTTTTAATCCCATCTCTGCTGGTCATCTTAGACAAGGCACTTCAACTTCCCAAATACCAATATTCTCATCTGCAAAAGAGAGTAAAATAGCTCCTAGAGTTGTTGCAGAGCTAATGGGGGAAAAAACACACGAACAGCACAGTGCCTGGCACACAGTAGGTGGCTCAAAATGGTTTGATTAAAAGAATTTTAAAAGAATTTTAAAAGGGTATGGGGCAGGAAATTGAGGACCTCCCCTATAAAATATAGAGTATGACTCTAAACGAGGGTGACTACTTGCTTAGTCTGTAGGTGCTACTACCTCTTTGGCAGTCTTGGAACTATCTGCAAACTACACAAGAAGCTCCTCTAATTACTATACAATCAGGACTTATTTTTACCCAAACCAGCAACCTTATCCATCAGATTTGGCTCAGACTATCTTTTCAGCTCTTTATGAGGATTCTCAAATTTCCTCAGTGGGACAGATTCTTAACAATGTGTTTCTGGCCCTTCTGACAGTCCTCACACAAGGATTCTGACAATGGTTTGAGAGGCTGCACCCAATAAACATGACCTGGTCCCCAAGGAAAGCACTTTGAAGGGGCTAAGACTCCTTTGTATGTGTAAATCCTGGATGTTTCTCCCCCGTCTGAAGCCAAAGCCTCCCCTCCCCCCACACTGCATCATGATGACCTATTTGCATGTCCCCAGCTACTCCATCTCTACGACAGGTCACTCTGTAAAATGGGGATATTACCAACCTTCTGGGACGGCTGCTGGAATTACATATCATCTGTATAAAGGTCTTTTTTTAGATCTACCTGCTACCCATAAGAGTTACCAAAAAGCAATATGGATTAAACTCAAGATATGAAAATCTGGAAGAAAAATGGGGCCTTTGTGCTAGAAGAAATCACACTGAAGTGTTTACATTAGAGAACAAGATTTGGTTAAGCTTTCCCTATTTATCATTTATAAAGGAAAACAATCAATATACATTAACTGAGCAAAGAAAACAAAAACTTACATTTTTCTTATACAGAATTATCACAACATTATTGACCGAGAAAGCGAGAAATGAGTATTACCTGACTCTGGACTAAATATTGCTGGGTTTGTCTCTACTGAAGCAGTCATGTTTTAGAAGATGGCATTCTAGAGTGTTCAACAGCTTTTACCTGTCAGCTGCTTAATGGGTTTGAGGAGCATTAAGCCTCCATCTTTTAAAAAAATTTGAGAAAAATGTGGTTTGTCGAGGTGTGGCAGGCTGCATCTCGATATGTCGAAAGAGGGTCCTCAGAAACCTCAGGCTAAGATGGCCTTTGTGTTCTGCCTCTCATGAAAAAGAAAAGCCAGTACTGACGAAATAAAAGGCAACAACTACAAAACTGTTAAATTCTGAAATTGGAGAGGTCCAAAGGCTTGTCTCACACTGCTGTCTGCTCAGCCACTTCATCCCCAGAGAAACTGCACGTGGCTGATCAGGATGTCGCTGGTCGCACATGAGATATGAGGAGACCCCCTCTCCCCAAAGAGATGTCTACCATCCATCAGTAAAGTTCAGCACTCAGATAAAAATCAACTGTTTGTTACAAAAGTGCTATACATGTTTCAGAGCAATACATGTTTATAGCCTTAAAAACAAAGCAAAGTATGCAAGTTAAACTGAAAAGCAGAAATCCCTCCAAGATACTCCTCGCCCTTACTCATGGTAACTGCGCACAGTACTCATGTCCTTATTTCTAAATAACTATTCCTTGACTTAAAATTTTAAACATTAACATGTGACTTCCCATTATAGATATTATTATAAACATATACATACACTATATGACAGACTCTGTTCTAAGAGCTTTGCAAGTATTAACTCATTTTAATTTTACTTGACATGAGGTCACTGGTGACCTGAACAAGAGCTGTGTCAGTGGACAGGTGGAGGTGAACTCCCCAGAATCCTGAGGAGAGAATGGGAGAGAAATCAGGCAGTGTCGCCTTCTCAATAAGGCACTCTCTGGCCATCTATCTAAAATCGCGATCCCTGCCACCTCACCGCTCCCCATCCACTGTCCTTCTCTGCTTTATTTTACTCCTTACTACTTATCATTAGGCTACTGTAAATACTACTATGAATGCTATGTATTAAACTTACCTTGTTTATCCAAGGTCTTCCCTACTAGAATGTAAGATTAATGAGGACAGAGATTTTTGCCTATTTTATTCACTGTTTATCCCCAGTACCCAAAACAGAGCCATGAAAAATACTTGTTGCATGAAGTCAGGCTGACAGCAGAGCCGTTCGCCATAGAGGACAGACAATTCATCCACAGGGTGGGTGGAAGGGGAGGGACCCACGAGATTGACAGGTGTGGTATGAGCTCCTGTGCTCTCCTCTGAGGGCTTCCATCAGATAAGTATAGAAATTCCAGGTTAGAAATAATTTTCCCTTAGAAGTTCAAGACACTGCTTGACTCTTTTGGTTTCTACAATTGTCACAGGAGGCCCTGGCCGGGTAGCTCAGTTGGCTAGAGTTTTGTCTCAATACACCAGGGTTGTGGGTTTGATTCATGGTCAGGGCACATACAAGAACCAACCAATGAGTGCATAAATGGATGGAACAACAAATCTCTCTCTCTCTTTCCCATTCCCCACCCCCCTCTAAAATCAATAAATAAAATAGTCACAGCAAAATCTTCTGCAATTTTGATTCTTAGCCTTTGCACAAGAATTACTTTGTCTCTATCCCTGTATTGTAAAATTTCATGTAAAGGGCTTAGTATCTTTTTTAACTTCAAAAATTCTGAAAAAATGTATATACAAAAGTGTGTATATCAAATAAGCATCTTTTAAAGGAAAAAAAACCCTGAAGACTCCAAAACCTAGCACCTAACTCAGTGGTTGACAAACTACAGCCTGAAGACCGAGTCTGGCCTGACTCCTATTTTTGTAAACAGAGCTTTCCTGGAACACAGCCACAGTCACTAGATTACTGGTTATAACTACAAGGTCAGAGTCCAGTAGCTGCAGCAAAGACCATCTGTTCTACAGAGCCATATTCCCCACTAGACCTGGGATAAAAAGTTTCCTGACCCTATCCTAGCTCAAGACAAAGCCAGTCCTTCTGATGTCCCTGAATGCTTCTTCCCAACATACTCTTCACTCCCTTTGAGGAAACTACTACCTAAAATTTGTGTTAAACATCTTTTCCCCCTTGTAGTTCGCATGTGTCCCTAAGTAATGTGCCCTCAGTTTTTCCTAGTTGAACTTTATATGAAATAAATCATACTGCATGTTCTTCTGTAGCATGTTTCTTTTACTCGGAACTCTGTATTGGAGACCTAATCACGCTGACAGTGTTCGTTTCACTGATATAGTATCCACTGCATGACTACACCACAATTTATCAGTTCTCTGTTGATGGTCATGTGGGATCTTTCAGGTTTAAAACACACACAAAAATGCTATTATGAACATGCTTGTAGATGTATCCCACTATACGTGACCAAGGTGTGTGTAGGTATGTATGTGTATGTGCATGCGTGCGCACATGTGCAAGCGCACACACAAACACACACACACACATAATTCCACCCAGGACTGGTCAAAACAACCAAAAGATGTTCACTGCAGTGTTATCTACTAAAGGATTAAGCTTGAGTGACTGAAATGGCCATCAAGAGAAGAATGATTTAGTAAATGATGACACATCAGTGTAATGGAATACGATATAGACATTTAAAAACTGACGATGATGGGCGCTTATGTGGAAATATGCAGTGTTCATAACACATGATCAAATGGAAAACTATTTATAATTGATTGTGAAGCTATAAGAATAAATGAAATGTGCACTGGCACCGTAAAGGCACATGAATGATTAATGAAGATGACATGTTACTATCTGAGGGACTGTGGCTGATTTCTTTGTCTAAAAATTTCTTTCATCTTTCCAAGACATCCTTCAATTGAAATAAAATAATTAAAAAGCCCATCTCAAGACTGTCTACTCACAGTGCTGAGTTTGCTGCAAATGATGAGTATCCGGCGTTCGTACAGCATACTGGCGTACAGATGTAACATGTTGTTTACATCCACGGCCACAAAATATTCTGTCAGATTTCTCTAGGAGAGAGAAGAAGGGGAGGTTTGTGCCTTATTGCGTTGGTTCTTATTACAGGCAGTATCTAATAAAAGCATGAGAAACAAAATAATCAGGAAGTATACTCTGCTCTTCCCCTGTCCTACTCTTTCTACCTGGGGACCAAGCATGAATCCCATTCATGCATGAAATCATGAAATGCAGAGTTGGAAGAGACCTCAGAGATGACGCAGCCTGAGCAATTATACCTGTGTGGTGATTGCAGCTTACAATATGAGGTCATCCACAGTGCTGCGCTGCTTTTCACAGAAGTTCCTAAAGGTAAGCAAGACAGGAAGTCTGCAACCTTACAAATGAGGAAATCAAGGCTCAGAGAGATATGCCAAGATCAAAAGTCTAGTAAGCAGTGAAGACAGGACTGCAGCTCAGATCTTCTGACCCCAGATCCTAGAACTTTCCCAATGCACCGTGCCACACGTCTACACAAAAGAAAGTACCCGGGGACCAAAGTGCCTCTGGCACAGAGCCCATTTCTGTCCCACAGATCCCACCCACAAAGGCCAGCGAGCTCCTCTCCTGCCATCACGGCTGGTGTCCCCCTCCTCCACAGTTTACATTCTTTAAAACGACTCAGCTGGAATGAAAGCAATCTTGAAGATTTACAATTTCTAGGTATTTCACTCAAAAAAGGAAAAAATCAAAGGCAAGCAGCAGCAAGTTGTGACAAAGCAGTGTTTTAACTGGCTTTTGTCTGTAGCCTGGGCTTCATTCCTTTAATTAGTGCTATAGATTGGTACTCTTCAGATTTCAGAGGAAGTGTAATGCGTTTCATTTCTACAACCCTTTCTATACCCACCTGACTTTAATAATACACATGAATATGCTAATTTCTTCAATGTTGCAGCTTTTCAATGCCACACAATATAATCCCCTGAAAATGAAGGGGGTGGGGAAGGAAGGAACGCTATTGCCAGGGGTTGCAATTTATAATAATGAAAGATCTATAACCCATAAATTCAAGTAAACCAGGTAGATTTTACATGCAAAATAGCATAAAATACTTTCCAACAATATGATGTATGGGTAGGGAATAAAACCAGGCACTTATCTTACAATTTATTATTGTTTGATTGGAGTACCAGGTTAACCATCGACCTTTATAAAGAGTGAGTTAATAGCTCCGTACACTGGCTACCTACCAAGTGCCAGGCACTATACCAGGTGCTGTGTATGTGTAATCTTATGCCATCTTCACGAAACCCCACTGAGGTATTATTCTTTTCAATGCATAGCTAAAGAAAGTCTGGGAGAGACCCAGTAACTGGTGGTCAGAATCTGAACTCAGAGTCAGCTCCACAGCCCATATGCTTTCCCTTACACTACACTGTCCCACTGAAGTACTTTAAACATCCACAGTATATAAGGCTTTACATATTTTACTTCACTTAATCTTGAAACAACTCCTTGAACAGGTATTATTATCTCTGTATAAAGGTGGGAAAACAGAGGCATGGAGAAAGTGAAGTGCTCTGACCAAGGCAGACAGGAGGTGGGTGAGGCGCTATCTGGCCTTGGGGGCAGATCTGTCCCTAAATCATGTCCTTCCTTTTTGTTGGTTATAATTTTTTACCCTCATCCAAGGATATGGTTATTGATCTGGGAGGGAGGAAGGAAGGGAGGGAGGGAGATCGATTGGTTGCCTCCCACGTGCGACCAGACTGGGGACTGAATCTGGGTGTGTGCCCTGACCAGGAGTGGAACTTGCCACCCTTCAGTGTCCTGGACAACAACTGGGGCTGTGCTCTTCTTTTATGCCACTAAAACATTAGATAAAGTTGTATTCAGAAAAAGAAAGCACAGCATAGTAACAAAGAAGGACCAAAGTGCACCTAAGAAAGAGAAAAAACATTTGTTAAAAATTAGCGTTACCCTATGTACTGAGTAATCCTTACGTGCCAGACAGCAGGCACTTTGTCTCAGTTCCCTCTGATCTTCTCAAAACCCTTGGGAAGGGCATTATCACCTCTATTCTACAGGTGGGAAAACTGAGGCTCAGGAAGGTTAAGTAATCTTCCAAAGGTCACCCAGCTAGAAAGGGCCGTTTCAAAATCAGGTCTCCTGAATCCCAAACTCTTGCTCTAACCATCAATCCTACCTGCCTCTTAACAAACTTGAAAAGCCAAAGAAAACAAAAGGAAGGCAGTGAATTAGTCGACAGGCTTCTCTCTCACCCAGTGGACTGAGGATGCTGAGCTAATGATGTCAGGGTGGGGTTTGCTCTGAAGACAGTGACATGGCAGAGCTATTCTCGCAAACAAAAATACAAGGCCCTCAGCTGAGCATTTCAGTAAAATGCTTAACTGCTGATGAATTACATGCATTTTTCTTTTAGGAGAGGATGGAAGTAAAAAGAAAATAGAAATGAGGAGCTTAAAGAAGGCCAGAAAGCCCATTAGCACTTTTGACAGATCCAAAGATAACTCTGAAGCCACCAAAACGTGGCCTCAAGAGTCTGCCAAGAAGCTTCACGCTGGGTAGAAATATGTTACACAGCTTGCCGTCCAAATAAGGAGACACAGCGTCAGAGACAAACCCTGCGCCTTATTTTGGTGGAAGAAAAAAAATCACAAGGATACTTCTGTGGATGGGGAAGAGAACATCTCTGAAATAAAAACACCACTTGGCTGAGGCATAACCCCCAAGCCCAATAATCATGCTCTGAGAGATTCAGGTGCTTGTTCTTAAAACTCTACACAGGTACGTTAAAAATATGTAACATTTAGCCAAATTCTCTCTAAACTGTCATGTACTTTTTTTGGTATTTCTCATCCCATCTGTGCTGATTACCAAGATATTTGTGTCTAAACAGAAGCTGTCTTTCTTATCTGCTTCCTCCCCTGCCTCTTTCCTTCTGGGATGCCACTGCCTAGGCAGGTGGGAGTGGGTGGGAGTGGCGACAGCCCTGGGAACCTTGCTCGGCCATGGGAGCACCTGGGAGGCAGAGTGGGCTTTGGAGGCAGTACAGGGGGGCACCTGCAGTGCTGACCCAGCCTCATCTCAGAAGAAAACCCCTTGGAGAGAGGGGACTCCTTCCCCATGTCTTAAAGCATCTAGTGGCTTAAGCCACACCAATCCTCAACTTCTTAGACCTGCCCTACCTTTTCACATCCTAGGCCTTCACTTTTGCTGTTTCCTCTGCCTAGAATGCTCTTCTCTTCTTTAAGGACACCCACTTACTTTTCAAGACCCAGCTGAAATGTTACCTCCTCCAGGAAGGCCTCCTCAACTCATTTGTCAGGCTCCCCTTTGTGCTTCTATGGCAATATGTCTCTATCTTATAATAAAAACAGGCACTTATCTTACAATTTATTTTTGTTTGATTATAGTACCAATATGTTTTTGTCACTGGACTGAGGTCCCTTTGGGTAAGATAACATATCCTATCATCTAGCAGTTTGATGAAGGAATGAATCAATGAATGGAGAAAGCACCTGCCTGAAGACCACTGCTCCATAGTTGGAGTGTGAGCAGTGTGGTGTAGAAGGAAACACACCAGCCTGGAAGAGGGATGGATGGTATATTAGGAAGAACAGAGCATTTGACTTCAGAAAACCTGGGTCTGAGTTAGATGCAGTGGTCAATGACTCAGTAATGGTGAAGGGCCCACAGGAAAAGAATTTGCATTGGCGACCCAGTCAGATAAAATAGCTGGGAAATGTGGGTGGGGCCTTTTAAAGGTATCTGTGGCTACATTTATTAAATGTGTAATAAAATAGGTAGCTTGTTCATCAGGTAACGGGCAGTGGGGAGAGGCTACACAGAAGCAGCTGTTCATTTCAGACAGGTCAATGGTATTTCTCAGATGGGTAAGATTGGAGTGTGGGGGATGGGGAAGAAGAGAGGCTTCCAGGACAAGCTGTCCTGGGTCAAGGCTGCAGGCAGAGCATACTGTGAGCTTGCATTTATAAGACACAAGGCGTGCCACTCCCCGAGCACTGTGCTTCAGTGGAACTGAGTCTTCAGCCTCCCATTCCTGTCTCTATAACCAGCCAACCAACAAACACTTATTTAACTCCCACTGTGTGTTTAGTGCTATCCTGGGAGCTGGACTTAACAGAGATGAATTAAACACGATCCCCATTTCCCAGGAGCTAAGTCTGGAGATGGGAGTGGCATGAGACCCAGAAACCCAGTGTTCAAAGTACTGTGGTCGAGGCTGCACATGTTCCAGGGCTGGCTAAGAAGGGCAGAGTCAACTCTGCAGGATGGATATGGGGAGAAGGCTGCGGAAGACTTGTCAGAGGAGAAGATATCTGGTCTGGGCCTCCCAAGAGGAGTTCACTCAGTGGACAGGGGGAGAAGGCTGTTCCAGGAAGAGGAAAAGGCAGGGAGGAGAGTGCAGGGCGGGGCGGGGGCTGGCATGGACATGACGACGACACATGCTGGGGCAGAGAAGCTGGGCCCAGATACTGTGGGAGCTGCTGAAAGATCATGACACAATCACATCTATGTTTCAGGAAGATCTTCCTACAGGTCTTATGGAGGAGGCACAGGAGAGGGCACAAGGAAGCAGGGCAATTGGTAAACAGCTACTGCCACATTCTGGGAAAGAATGATTAAAACAATCAAACTATTGAGATAAAAGCTTTGGATGTGGATGGGACAGATTTCTGTAAAGAGGAAACACAGGACTTGACAATGAGTTAGGCTTGGGAAGCAGGGTGGAAGAATCTGGATGACTGCTAGGCTTCCAGGTTACTGTGCACCACACCTGTCCACTTGCCCAGTTTATTTTAAGGGTGAGTCTATTTATTCAATGAAGGATCAATCTTCTTTCTAAAGAGCCAATAATCCTGCCGAGAATGGTATTGGCCCAGTGTCCTGGATTACAATGCCATCATGGCTAAGCCCAAATAACCACTCCCTTTATTCCTTGACAATTACTTCTCCATGTGTCTCCCCTGCTAGGAAAGGAAAACCTTGCTGAGAGAGACTAATTCCCAGTGCCCATGCTCAAAAAGGC